AATTATTGTTGGTCCATTTATCCATCAAGTCAAGTTTACTGTATGATGAATGTGGCATTGAATTGTTTCTGTTTCTAATATAACAATTTCTATATTCTTATAATAGCTTCTGAAACTGGGCTAGTTGGAATAAGTATTACAAAGGCTATTCATCATCATGATCCATGATGTTAGCTGTTCACTAGTTAAAGGCAGGGATTCCATCTCTATGTATGTTCAGTTGCAGTTTTATTTGTAAGCATCTCAGATTGGTCATACCATGCACACAGGAAGAAAATAAGGTCCTGGAACTGCTAGAATTCTAATGAAAAAACCTAAAAACCAGAATAAGATGCTAGATATAGATTGATGATAAACGAAATAGATAGACAGACAGACAGACAGACATCTAACATCAAGTTAGATAGATGGAAAGCAATCAAGTATTTGATTCCCAAATATTTGCCTACTGATTTTTCTGCTATTGGACAAGTTAGAACTACACAAGTTAAAACTGGGCATTTTTTCCCTAAATAACTGAAGTCATGATGTATAGCAACAATTTCTGAAGAAACTTAGAAAAATAATGAAGAATTTAAAAAATGTTTATGATAAATTGTTTCACTTTTGCCTATGTTAAAAATGCCGTTTTTATTTTTTATAGAAGACATTAAATTTAATCTATAAAATAGAAGGCAAATGAAAATTGAATCTAAAGAAGTTTACATTTTGCAAAGTTAAATATATTATTTGAGAATATTATGGCAAGGATGTGTTTTCCTTAAAAGAAACACAATTATTAGGAAAAAAAGATGCTTTCACTAATTGTTGAGATCCAATGTTACAAAGCCTAACTTGTTTCTACATTTTTGGTGTACACTTGCCAAATGATCATTCTTGAATCTTTGGAAGAATTTCTGGCTCACCTCCATGGATTATCGTTAATAATTGGTCCTCCAGAAAGTTAAAAAAAAATATTGCAGTGAGTCCAGAATTATTTTGGCAGTTATACCTGGCAATCACTTTCTAGCAATTTCCTCCAAGATATTCTCAGAATAATAGTGAAAATGAGACAGGTGTCACTCTTCTTTGGGGATTAGGATACAGAGTATTCTCCTATGTCAGTTTTATTGTTATTGATAAGGTAATGTCAAAGTGAGTTTCATGCTATTCTTGTATAAAAGAAGCATACAGGCAATCCATTAGGCCTAGATTTCTTGCCAATCTAAAAGGTGTCAAATGCTGGAAGAATGCATCTACTGTAAAGCCTTTTAAACCTTCAGGACCAGAGACAGTGACATATTCAGTTACTGCACCCGCCAATTTTGAGTGGCTGGTAATCTTGACCACAGCAATAGATTAAGGCAAATTTAAAGAATCTAACAAGAAGATTGAAGAGCGAGAAGGATAGTTGTGGAAGGAGGTGGGTTTTCTCACTGCTGTTGGGATTCCTGAAAAGAATGCATGCATTATTTTTACTTTTTGTATCTCTCTCCAATCCCTTTGGTTTCTATTTTAAGCGAGCAGATTTCTTGCAACACTAGCAGATATTTAAACTCTTAATAAAATAAATGCTTCCCCCCCCAACTATGAAGATTATTTAGTATTTCATTTGTATCTGTTGTATCCACTCATGAGCAATTAACTCCAAGTTAATACAAACTTCTCCTTAAATAACCTCTAGATTTTGTAGTGTCTGTATGTCTGTGTACATGTGTCTGTATAATTGTCAGCAGAATAATGATTTATTTACCAAAAGTAAATCTCACCTGCCTTCCCAGGAGCTTAAGGAAGCATATATAGAAACCCTTCTTCATTTTTTCCTCATAAGCACAACTGTGTGAGGTATTTGGGCCGACAGAGACAGATCAACCTAAAGTCACTCCCTGAGCTTCCATGGTTGATGCTGGTTTATAATCTGTTCCAATGTAACACCTTTATCATTATGCCATACTGGTGCTTATGCTCTGTGAGATATTTCTATACTATATATATCATTGTGTTTCTGTAGAACATTTTTCTATGGGAGTGACCGATCACATTCTTATCTTTCAGATACAGTTCAGTTAAGTTGCTCAATACCACAAACAGTTGTATTTTGCCTCAAAAATCAAAATACAACCTTTTGTGATTACAAATGATTCATGAGCGTACCTCCTAACACTGAATGTAGAAGAGCTATGCTTGCAACCTGAGCAAGAGTCATACATAGATGTGATAAGTTTTCCGGTACGTTTCTGTTTCGTTTTGTTTTCTTCTGCTTTGAGGCTTGTTTATTTATTTGCTTATATTCCACCTTTATTTTTATAAATAACTCAAGGCAGTGAACATATTCAACTCACCCTCCTCCTATTACTGTCCCCAGAACAACAACACTGTGAGGTGGGTTGGGCTGAGAGAGAATGACTAGCCCAAGTTCACCCAGCTGGTTTTCATGGCTAAGGCAGGACTAGAACTCATGGTCTCCCTGTTTCTGGCCTGGTCATTTAACCACTAGACCAAACCGGTTCTAGATCTAAAGGTGTACAGAAAAGCATAAATCCAAATATTAAAAGAAGTTAAATGACAACTAAAATAGCCTGAGAATGATGAATGGTGATTGTTAGTGTAAAAAAGTAAAAAATAAGGTTCAAATTATTTGCACTGACTAAAGAAATCCTTTAGAGCAGTGGTGTCAAACTCTAGCCCATGGGCTAGATCCGGCCTGCGGGATGCTTAGATCTGGCCTGCAGGGCCACCCTGGAAACAGCAAAGGACTGGCCTGTGGTGCCTCTGCCAGTGAAAACAGAGCTGGGGAGGACCGTGCGTGGCCTGCCTGGGCTCCGTTTTCAGCCATGATGGCCTCCTGCAGCCCTCTGCCAGAAAAAAATGGAGCCCGGGCGGGCTGTGGGCTGCCCACTGGGCTCCATTTTTGCTGGCATATGGCTGCAGGAGGCCGTTATGGCTGAAAATGGAGCCTCAACGAGTGAAATCGAAGTGGCCATGCCCCCTGGGCACACGCCCTGGCCACCATCCCCAGCTTCCCAAGGTCAAACACAACCCTGATACAGGGTGTCAAACTCAATGAATTCGAGTTTGACACCCCTGCTTTAGAGAGTTTCCTACCCAGCCCTAGGTAGATATGGAAAAGTCTTGAAGTAGTATTTCACTACTTTATTTCTTCTTCCAGCTGATTTAAGAAAATCAGGGCTGCAGCAGTAGTAGAAAGTTTCAACAAAGAAGCAGCTTCAGTTTCATTTTGGATAGAGTTGTGTTATTCTGGCCTCTTCTGGATAATCTGCCTACCGAGAGCTGATTCAGTTTCTCCATTTAAGAAATTAATCTATCCGCCAGCAAAGATAATCTAAATTCTAGTAGGCCAGTCTCCAAACAACCTGCTTTTCATAGGTTATAGGTTATAAAACTATAAAGTGATCAGATTTATTTTTTTTTCTAAAATTAGTTATTGTTTTCTTCTAAAACACTCTTCAGTTTGTAATTAAAAAGACAACACTGCCAGAGAAAACACATTTAAAATCTGGCCTTTTTTTTTTTTTTTTTTTTATACACAAAAGCAAAACTCCCTTTTCACCTATATTTATTATATTTGGTAAACAAGTCATCATAAGCTTTTCTTAGATTTTAATTCCAAATGCCCCATGACATCAGAATAAGCCACTAAGCCCCAATAGTAATTCTCTACTATTCATAAACAGTAGTGGTGATCATTTGAAAGATGAATGTTTTGTGATTATCTTTTAATAGTTGGCTGTTTCCAAAGACTCTCAATGGGTCTGTTAAGTAATCAATGACTCTTTCAGTCAGTTTATCATTAAGACTTTTTGTCAAGAGTAGAATAAACCAACACATTTTAAGGAACAGTAGTTTGGCATTAGTCAGAGGATTAAAGGTGTTAAGAATTAAAGATGGACTAGAGATCCTTTTAATTTTAGGTCAATCGTGAACCAGGTCAGTTGATATTAACCAAAATCATTAAAGCTTGACAGCTGTTCTGCAACCTTCTGAATAGCTTTCTTCCCCTCTTCCTTGTTGGCTTTAATATACTCTCCTTTGGGTTACAAAATTGTATGGTAATTAACACTGTTTGATCTTCTTTTTACTCACTGATGAGGAACTTGTTCAGCACAAAAAACACATTATAAACTTAGCATGAGCTTCAGGGTTGCATTTATTTAGGCAAAGTTAAATGTACACTTTGCACGTACTGTAAACGATGCGGTATTATGTAGTGATGAATGCTGTATAGAAAAACAGTTGCAGATGCTACAATATCCATCCATATAGGACTTTTTAAAACAACAGCAACAAAAATCTGGAAATATTGATGCATATGTTGCAAATCATACTTGGTTTCCAAATTGTGAAGAGCTGTGTTTCTAGAATGAAAACAATAGTAGAAGCAGGGCAATGAAAGCCCCACCCCTTTGTAGGTATGAGAAACATACAAACATGTACAAAAGTGGTCAGCCTTTGATTTCACAGCATGATGGCCATCTTGCTTGTTTTGGGAAGATGCCTTGATCCCCTTCTGGTAACTTGAGCTGGGACTGCCAAAAAGTCTGGGTTGAAAATCTGGAGAGCCACCTCATTTAAAAGCAGGAGTGAAATCCAGCAGGTTCCGACAGGTTCTGGAGAACCGGTAGCAGAAATTTTGAGCAGTTCGAAGAACCAGTAGTGGAAATTTTGAGTAGTTTGGAGAACTGGAAAACACCACTTCTGGCTGGCCCCAGAGTGGGGTGGGAATGGAGATTTTGCAGTATCCTTCCCCTGCAACGCCCACACCACGCCCACCAAGCCACACCCATAGAACTGGTAGTAAAAAAAATTTGGATTTCGCCACTATTTAAAAGTAACTTGCCTAGGGGGACTGAGGCCCATACTTGGCCTTTGAATGATATACCAGGGCCACATTCATGCAAGTGGAATGGCAAAAGTAAAATAGAGTCAGATGTAATTGTCTTACTTACATTACTTTTCTCTTAGGTTCACTAACAGCCTCTGAAATATTAATGCTTTTGCAGATTAGTAGCTGTTGAGATGATTAAGAAATGGAGAATTCTGCAAAAAGGAAACAACAACAAACCAGTATCAGCAGCTATTTCCCCCACAACTATGAAGCAAGCTCAGCTACACTATAAAAATTATAAAGGAAAAAAATATAACTTTCCTGTGAATGAGATACAAAAGCAGACGGTTCTTTTCTGAGAGAAACAAATTTCTGAGAAATCAATGGATAGATTTAGACACACCAATAAATCATTTGTATTTAATGTGGTGCAAGGAATTCATTTGTTATTATTGCCAGATACAAATTTGGGTCATTTCTAATTCGATAAGCATGCAAGTGTTCTTCACTAGAACATTTTGTTTTCTTTTTCTGCTTCTGTAGTCCCTTAATTTGGGGTGGAGTCGGGCAACTTGGTGAACCTCAGCATTTACTGGCCAGATGGTCTTCCTGACACCTATATGGAGTTTACAGAAGATATTTTTTTCTTTGTGCCCTAAGAGAGAAACATCTGTTGATAACTAGGACTGAACTCTCCATAGTCCAGTGGGAGGCAACTATCTTCACCATTAAGCCCACATGCCACTCCTTCACTAAAGCATTAAATAACATAAGCCTACGTATAATATGATAGGAGGGACAGAGAGCAAAGAGACATCTTGTAGAAGAGATGGACAGCATAAAAATTTAATAAACAAACAAACAGACAGACAGACAAATCAATACCTTCAACCTCTAGATGTTTGTTTGGAAAAGACTACTGGGTTGGCCCCAAGTTTCTATTTATACTTCAGATTTAGAAAGCGAAAGCTATGATCATGGTACAAATTTTATATGCTCCACCGGCTCTGATGGAATGGCTTTAGGCAAGACTCCTTCTCAAGTTTCCTTTATCAAAAGTTTATAAGAAGAAGAAAAATGCAGGCCAAATTTATGGAATTGTTATAGTGATTGAGAAGATCAAATGCAAAACTCTTTGTGTTCTCTGAAATATTATTAGTCTGAATCAGGGTGGATAAAAATCAATGATTTTTTTTAAAAAAATCAAAAAAATCAGATTTTTTTGATTTAAATTGGATTTTTTGATTTAAATTGGATTTTTTAAAATTTTTATTGAATTTATTTTAATAAAAAACTTTTGGGGTAAAAATCTATCGTAAGATAGTTTTCCATTTAAGATACATAAATAATTTAGTTTATTCAGCATGAAATGGAGCTTAAGTTATGTAGCATGAGGCTGTATATTCTGCAACACTGGGACTATCGGTGAGTCAACAGTGGGTCAAAGGAGTAGCAGAGATGACAGCTGCTCTTTAAAAATTATGATTTAAATCGAGTTGATTTAAATCAAGCCTTTTTACTAGTGATTTAAATCATGATTTAAATTGTGATTTAAATCAACTCGATTTAAATCAAATCCACCCTGGTCTGAATGTATTTTTCAGACTGGTACAGTTGAGGCTGCTTGTATTTTCATAGGTAAAGAAAGAACTTTAGAAACAAATTAGTGTGTGCCTTGTTTAAAAATATTAGGAAGATTAGCTTTTTTCATGGCTGAACATCTTGATACCTACAATCTCTCTAAAGAAATAATCAACCAGACGAGGTTGGGAACAACAGAGTAAGGCTACAGTTACCATGAGGGTTTTCAAAGATAGTTGGTAAATAAGTCTTGAAAGTAAATAATTATGAGCACTATAAATTATGTTTATTAAATTTAAACTTTTTTTTTAAAAAAAAACACTCATTACTATACAGCTACTGAGGAGTTCCAGAGCTAATTTTCAAGATACCATCAATTGTGTGGGTGGTTTCAGCTTCATGAATTGAGCAACGTTCCATGGCTGAAGCCCATAAATTAAAGCATAAGCATGTCACTGGAATCACAGATTGAACATAATAGGCCTGGTGTTGTAATTTAAATAGAGATTTTGAATTTATCTTGGCCAACCTTAAAAAAAAATATGACAAGGTGACAGTCCCCAAGTGATATGCTGGATAATTAACTTGTTGTCAGGGCACCTCCTGCCTATTCATCTTTCCACCCTTATTTCTTCTTAATGCTTCCAGCAAATTGTTTGGGCTGTCACTCTTTTGAATGCCAACATTTTAAAAAGGTTGCCGGGCTGATTACCACACTTGGCCAATAGGGCTTGAGAAGGGTGGAAATTCATTTTCCTGGGAGCATTCCACCATAAAAGCAGATCAGATGAAATGTCAGCTTCTTTTCCAGGAGAAAATAGGCTATGTTCTCACTGGGACTGGGTCAAATTAATCTCTTTGACTTGATGTTTCCTAGTCCTATGTCAATTTGCAATACATACAGATATGAATCAAATCACTGCTGGGGGAAGGAGTGTCAGGATATATGGCATTTGAGTTGAAAAACACACAGACACACCTACATACATACACCTGGGTTATTTTTGCATTTTAATAATACAGAAATAAAAGCTGACATATATTTAATCAACTAGTGGAATTTTCCAGCAAATGTCATAGCTTTTATTTATTTATTTGTTTCAAATTTCTACACTGCCCATCTCATCTTAGTGGCTCTGGGCATTAATGTTATAAATAATATAATACAAGATTAAAGCAGACTAAAGTTAAAAACAAAGTTAAAATTTGTAAATCTAAAAAAAATAAAAGTTAAATAGTTAACCAGGTGGCAAGACACATTACTTCCACTTTGCTCCCACCAGACATTCTTCAGAAATACAACCAATGTTATTTCAGTCCCATATCTAGGTTTGTATCCTGACTGGAAGCGGTCTAGATAATTTGTCTCATTCTGGATTCTCTAAAAAGGCAGGTAAGAGATTGAATGAAAATTATCAGTGGCTTTCAGTGCCGGCTCTTGAGAGAGCCTACAAGCCCATGTTTGAATGGCACCAGGAATGGCACCATCACCCACATGTCACCTTCCAAGTGGCCTTTACCAACCAAGATGAGCATGGATTTAATTCATACAGTTGTGGCTGTGCTTACAGTTCCAAGGACCCTGTCCATTTCCTTGTTCCAACAGTATTAAATTGTTCCCAGATAACTGGGTAGGTCTGTTCCTCAGGCATCAAAGGACTGCATCATGCTTGAGCTCCAACTCAGAATGGATCTGAGCAATTTTATCCACCATACAGCAAGGTACGATAGCAACAATCCCAACTGCTCCCATAAGCCTATCTTCAGAAACAGGCTCTCAAAACTGGCAACTTGTATAGCAGATTCCCTGAAGGGCAAATACACTTGGTAGAAAAGGTCAAATTTAAAGGTATTAAATAATTGCCCCTGTCAAAGATGTACTGTAACAGCAGCAGTTATGTTGATAACATATTGCAGGTTATTGGCATTCACTTACCACCAAATCTTTATCCATTTTCCCATGATGTTGGAAAAATTGCCCCCAAAGTTCTTATATTCAATAACGTTCATCTTTTTAATGTCTATGGAGATTCTCAGTCATCCATCATTATAGTTGTCCCAAAGATGCTTTTTGAAAGTCCAGTGGCCCCTTGAAAAAGCACTTTTGGGACATCCTTTTAATGCATATGCAAAACCAGAATGGGACTTTTCATTTCCGCTACATGCTCGCACCAGAGGTGGTATTCAGCAGGTTCTGACCAGTTCTGGAGAACCGGTAGTGGAAATTTTGAGTAGTTTGGAGAACTGGTAAATACCACCTCTGACTGACCTCGCCCTCATCTATTCTCTGCCTCCTGAGTCCCAGGTGTTCGGGAGAAAATGGGGATTTTGCAGTAACCTTCCCCTGGATTGGGGAGGGAATGGAGATTTTACAGTATCCTTCCCCTGCCACGCCCACCAAGCCATGCCCACCAAGCCACACCCACAGAACCAGTAGTAAAATTTTTTGAATCCCACCACTGTTTGGCACCCCCTTCACCCCTACTCTCCAGCCACAGCCAATTGACGGTGAGCGTTCAGACTCTGCTGAACCTCTGCTGGCGCCAATGGACTGCCAGCCCTCCACCTCTGTCTCCTTTGTCATGGGTGTTTTGCAGAGAGAGCATTATATTCCAGCCATTTGCGCCAAGGGACCAGCAGCCGTGCCTCCCAACAGTCAATCAGGCCTCTGTGTGGTTTCTGCCAAGGAAGCCCTGTTTAAGGATCGCCTGCCTGATCCTGCAGCAGAATAAGTGGTATGTGTGTATGTATGAGAGAGAGAGAGAGAGAGAGAGAGAGAGAGAGAGAGAGAGAGAGAGATATGCCACTGCCTGCCAATGTAGTCTCCCCAGCACCTTCAAGAGGGCCCGATCCTGGACTGAGCATCCCGCTACTGCTGCTGTCCCGTCTGCACTGTCACCAGCAGTGCCTCCACAGCTTGACAGAGGCCCACCCCACAAAGCACCAAAAATATGGGACTTTGGCAACTTTGGGACTTCCTTCCTTCCTTCCTTCCTTCCTTCCTTCCTTCCTTCCTTCCTTCCTTCCTTCCTTCCTTCCTTCTTCAAAACATATTTTATTGAATACCAAAATACCATTCTGGACATAGTCTGACAGCTTCTTTATTGGCAATGAAATTATTTAAATGAGAAATGTGTGCACAGATGAAGTGGGTGGCCATATGAAGGATTTCAAAAAAAGAGAGATGTCTCTTGCATGGTAAAACAGGTGACCTATCTTCTTTCCACTATAATTATTTCTCTGTCAAATGTTCAATTAGAGTGACAGGGTACCAAGTCCCCATAGCTTTCCATTTTGTTTTAAAAGATTAAAGGATGGCAACTATTTTTTTAAAACATAATTATCATAATTATTTCAGGAAGATGTTATACTTCATAAGTCAAAGTCATCATAGCTCAGTATTCAGCAATTATTCGCAAATTGCCTTAATGTATTTTTCAAAGATGCCTTTTGAACATAGTAATTTGTTTATATCCAGCCAATAGCACTGGAAAATGATAGTAGAAGAGCCTGATAATACAGTGGACTAAAGCACTGTTATTAACATCTGCTGCTTGCAATTACTGCAAGTTCAAATCTCACCAGGCTCAAGGTTGACTCAGCCTTCCATCCTTTCAAAGGTAGGTAAAATGAGGACCCAGATTGTGGGGGCAATAAGCTGACTTTGTATAAATATACAAAAGTATGAAGGCTATTGCTTAATGCATTGTAAGCTGCCCTGAATCTCCGGAGAAGGGCGGCATATAAATTAAAGCAAAAAATAAATAAATAAATAAAATAACGTTGAAGTGACACAGTCTGTTACTACAAACCTGCAACTTCTTTAGTGCCAGAAAGATTAGT